ATACCCTAGAATTATTATTAAATAATTATTCGATTAAACAAATTTGTTTTGATTAAAATAAATTGTTGTTGGGCTTTGGGCCGATAAAAAATATGTTTTGATATCTATTATCACACTCTGGATAAATCTCATAGAGATAAATCCAATATATTGACTTTTTGTGTGGTCTTGATTGGAAACCTGAGTAAAGACCCAAATCAAGAGTAAATGAAAAATTTGTTTATAATGTAAATATTTAAATGATTTGTTAAAATAAATCATGAGAATAATTGATATGAATTAAATAAGAGAACCTTTTATGAGAAAAGTCAATTAAACAAATTTTTACTCTTTCAAAGTCAACCACCCAAAAATATGATGTCGGAAAAAGTATTACAAATAATTATGAAAAGTATGTCGTTGAATAGAATTCGACTGTTTAGTCACAACGGTGCGAACAGATTTCAATTTGGAGAAAGTTGGACCAAAAAGTGTACCCCAACTGGAACCAAAATTGGTCCCAATCAGGGAGACTGTGCAGACGGCGCCCCCTCCTCCACACAGCCGATCGTGAGTCATTTCCTACGCAGAACTAGCTACAGGATTCTCTTCTTCCTTCTCCATTTTCCTATATAAGGAGGAAAAACCAGCTTCCATTTCTGCACCAAAACTTAGTAAGTTTAGTATCATTCAGTTCCTTGTTTAGTGCAGAGTTCATTGGTGTTGTCAATTTGGTGAGAGGTCGCCGGAGCTGAGAGTAATCGTCGCCGGAAGTTTCACTGGAAAATTCTCAAAACCTTCGATAAGCTTCGAGGTAAGCCCGTAGATATATCTAGTGACTAGAATGTTCGTATAGATCGTTTCTACGTTCATAAACGGTCATTTGGTTGAGTTTTGTGTTTGACATGTTTGAAGAACCAAGAATCATAAACCATGAAATTAGTGTTAAAATTACGAATTAATGACTCTAAAATGATATGTGAACATTGGAGAACATTTTTATATAATTAAATTGAAGTTTGGTGATTAAAAATGATAATGTTAAAACTGACCCGAGGAAGAAGATAATGAAAAGTGGCCGAAAATCGATTATTTACTTACTAAAAATCGATTAGAAGTTTATTCAGATCAGTGGTTCGAACTTAGTACCATTTAATCGATTATTTATGTTGTAAAAATCGATTATGTTGGGAAAAATATTATAGATTTTGATGATGATTTATTTAGAATGTAATAGGGACTTTAGGTCTCCCCCAATATTCAATGTAATTTTTCTTTTTAGAAATATTGTTAAAACCAAGTTCTTGAGTTTTCAATAAAACTGTGATATTTCTTTAAGCGTTTTGATGCCTGAAGACTTGATCAAATTCAGTGATATGAAAATTGGATATCTTAATCGGAAGTGTCAGAGACAAGTGAGGATTTCTCAATCAGATAAAAATCCTCAGATCTGGAAGACTACATAAGAAC